TCTCCTTTCCTGCTGTCCTGCCATCCTGGGTCAACCCTAAGCAGGGCATTCTTGGTGGTTGGAGCAGCACCCAGAGTTTCCATGATGCCTGACTCACAGACACAGGCTCCTAAGCTTCAGCCCCAATCTTTGAACTCTATCCTAGTCTGAGCTCCACTGGTCCCAGGCAGACAAGAAAGCTGAGGATCACCTGGATCTCACTGTTTGCACCTCTGTCCCCCAGGTCCTCAGTGAATGTCACATCCCCTCCTTCCTCGGAGACTGCAGCACAACAGCTCTGGAAGAGGCCCAGGTAAAGCGGCTCTGAAAGTACTAGGGTGGGTTTTAGCGCAGGAGGCACCAGGGACCTTGATGGCCAGAAAAACAAGGCGAATGTCCTTGATGGCCCCAATCTCCTCACAGGCCAAAGACCCTGCCTCCCCTTGCATCCAAGGAATCCAGGCTCATGAACAGAGCTGCCAGAAGTCCCACACCTGACTGTCATCTGGGGGGCCTTGTAGGGTCATTGACTCTGCTAAAAGCTTTGTCCTCCACAGTCCAGGGAGCAGGTCCACCAACTACGGCCCCTCTACAACCAGCAGGTGGGTGACTGCTGCATCATCAGGGTCAGCTTGGAGGAGGACAATGGAAACATATACAAGAGTATTTTGGTAAGCAGGTAGTAGGGGCTTCCCCTGAGGGTCACACCTAGTCAGAAAGGAAGGGAGGTTCTTCCGGAGGCTGAGGATGCTGTCAAGGCCATGAGAATACGGCCTTCACAGGTCGATGATCTTGGAGGTGGCTGGCAGAGTCTGTCTCTGCGTGGGCATCACTTAAACATGGAGCTAGCAGGGGCTGCTCACACCCTGTGTGTGGATGTGAGGCAGGGCCCCTCTCCTGCAGGCCACTCTCTGGCTAATGAGTCATTTCCAAATGTGACCCTGTAAACACAGGTCAGTGGTGCCATCTGTGCTCTGGCCCTTGGGGTGCAGGCATCCAGGGGTCCAGTCTGTGCCACTCACCAGTATAGTCTGCAATGCAGGGCAAGCCTGCCATGGTGCGGCCCCTCCTTTGGGGTGGGACCTGTGCCTGTCTCTTGCCCAGCCTCAGGAATCATCCCTGAGGGCAAGCAGCTCCCCCAGGAGGTAGGGAGGGGAGGGCGGGCTGCTGGAGGCAAAGGAGCTAAGGATGTGTGGGGGAGGACCCTGCTCATTACACCGAGGCTTCCCTTGGGGAGCAGAAGGGAAGAGACGCCTAAACCCGGCCAGGCCCCCTGTGCTCAGTGCTGTGGTGCCTTGGAGGGCCCCTTGTGGCTGCCCTCAGAGGGAGCACAGGAGAGCCTGCTCTGAGGGACTCTCA